TGTTTCCGGCGCGGGCGCCTGCGACGGGAGTGCGCGTGCGATTTCGAAGATCCTGACTGTTTGTTTTTTGTTTTCGTTTTTGTTTGATATGTGTTTCTTTATTTCTTTTTTTGTTTTCTCTCTCTCTCTCTCTCTCTCTCTCTATCTCTCTCTCCTCTCTCCTCTCTCTCTTCTCTCTCTCTCTCTCTCTCTCTCTCTCTCTCTCTTCCTCTCTCTCTCTCTCTCTCTCTCTCTCTCTCTCTCTCTCTCTCTCTCTCTCTCTCTCTCTCTCTCTCTCTCTCTCTCTCTCTCTCTCTCTTTCTCTCTCTCTCTCTCTCTCTCTCTCTCTCTCTCTCTCTCTCTCTCTCTCTCTCTCTCTCTCTCTCTCTCTCACTCTCTTCCTGCAATGCCGTTCGCCTGGGGCCTGAAGCCGCCGGTATTTGCGTGAAACCAACGAATTTCGCGCAACCACCGCTCGCGCTCGCCCACGAATTCGCCGCCGAGGTCGGGATGGAAGCGCCAGAACCGACGCTGGCCCAATCTACGCGCGATCACTGCGTCGCGCAGGGCAAATCTACGGCGAGATTTTCGCATGACCATGACATTCGCGCGCGCGTTGCTATTGAGGCTCTCGGGGAGGGGGCCTGCGAGGTCGGCCGAAATGCCCCCGTCGGAGGCATCGTGGATGACGCTGCGGGCAGGCCGTGCGCGGAATTTGGCAGATGCAAATGTCGCGCTCCGGGTCGTTATCCGCGTGACCCCTACGGTAATGGTCCAATACGGCGCGGTCTAGGGTCGGGAGCTGCGGCTCGATGGGCGACAGGCCAAGGGAAAACAATCCTGGTTTGCGTTTACCTTGGGCGCGTGAGAACAGAACGCGGGAATCCGGGGTGTCGACGATGATCGGGCCGCCCTCGAAAGCGGCCGATCTGGCGCGCGCGTGAGAAAAACTCGGCCGCGGCAGCTCCTGGCGGGGCGCTCCGGGGCCCACGTTGGAAAATGCGTCGTCGCAGCCATCGGCGCGGCCAACGGATGACCCACGGACGAGCGCGGATTAAGACGGCCGCGGTCCGGCTGGGCGAGACCGCTCGCCGCGGCCGCCACCGGATACGTCGGGGGGCGCGCGGACAGGCGCAACTGACGACTCGGCCCCCTTTAGGCGAGACCCCCCGCCGCGACCGCCGCCGGAACCGCTGGGGGGCGCGCGGGCAGGCGTTGCTGACGGGTCGGACTCGGCTGGGCAAGCTCCTCGCCACGACCGCCACCGAAGTCGCCAGTCGACGTAGACGCAGGCGCAGATGGTGGCGATGATGACGATTGCCCGCAAAATCGAAGGGCAATTTCGCTATCATCCTCGTTGCCGGCCATGGCCCGGGCATTGCGTTCAATCTCGGGTTTGGGGGGCAGGGTGTTGTGCAGGAGATGCCAGTTATTGTGCCGTAAAACTTGAACATGTCCCCCGTCGGAGCCGATGGCGCCGCCCCCGCCCTGCCTCGTCGATATTCCCAACCGCGATCGGCGAGGAGGGTGATGGAGAGGAGGCTAGAGGTTGCAGCAGCACGTAGTAGGCACCCACGTAGTAGCGCACCATCACGCACAACATCTCCCTGATCGGTCACGATCGTCTCCCCGTTCGCTGTTTCTAATGGGATCGGCCGTGGAAACGGGCGCGAATTTGTCGCGCGGTGGAAGCCCCGCCCGCGCAAGATGCGTCTCTCCGCGCCGGAGTCCGCAATCGTGCAGACCTTGCCCAGCGCAGCGGCGCCGGCGCCCAGAACGAGCGCAGGGACGGGGAGACGCGTGACTTGTCCCGAAAGTCGTTGCATGAGCTCTTTTGTTTGTTTGTGCTCGGTTTTCTGCCGGCCCATGAAGCGCTGGGCCATGGCCTCGAGGTCCTTGCAGCTTACCTCATGGTTTGGTCCAATTGTAAGGAAATGCTCTGGCTTCTCCCGAAAAACTGCCCGGCCCCTGGCCGTGCGCGTTCCAAGCGGCTGGCCCCTTCAGGCGCAAGCGCGCCGACACCGACGCGCGCCCATGTCCTTCCGTCGTAGCTCGGCGGGAGCAGGGTGCCCGGCGGCAGCCGGGGGGGCGCCGCCGAAGCAGCTCGGGCCGCCGCTCGAGCCCTGTCCCTGTTCAAGCCCCGGAAGCGCCGGGCACCCAGCAGCAGCCAGGGGGGCGCCGCCGAAGCCGCTCGAGCCGCCGCCCGAGCCTCCTCCTTTTCGAACGCCCGGCGGCGCCGGGCACCCAGCAGCAGCTGGGGAGGGCGCCGCCCGAGCAGCCCGAGCCGTGGCCCAGGCCGTGTTTTCCTTTGCAGGGCGTTTCGCGGGACTTGGCGTCGCGTTTACATGTTCCTTTCCACGAGCATCGCTCTGCCCAGTGGCCGGTTTGGAAAGACAACTTGCAGGTGTCGCGGGGCGCAGATTGTGCGCGCGTTGCTGTTTGTTGGCCAGGTCCTGTCGCGGGAGAAACGGCAGCCCTTGCCGAATCTGCGCTGGCCTGCCAGAAAGGAGCACGCGGCCCAGCTGCTAACCACGTAGTTGTCCTTCTGTTTGTCCTTGCCCTTGCCTGCTCTGGGATGCCCGCGCGAGGGTGGGCGGCGTCGGCGTTGGCGCGGGGTGCCTCGCGGACGCTCAGCTCGTTGATGGCCCGCTCCCTGGCCTTCTTCTCAGCCATGGCGAAGATGGCTTCTGGGCTGCATGGGTCGTTGAGTTCAACCAGCTCTAACGCTATCTCCAGGGGCTTCAGCCTGCTGAGTAGGTGCCGTAATGACTGCAGGGTGGCCAGCTTTGGCGGCTGGGAGCCGACGGCTTCGAGCTCTTCGTCCTCAGGGCGCCGCGCACGCAGCACATGCTGAAGCGTGCTTGTATCTGTGACCGGCTAGGGTTCACTGAAGCGCTCGCGCAGTGCAGCCGCATGCACAGTCCCTAAACTCATGGCAGCCTTGGCGACCGCCGCTACCATCGCCACGCCGTCCGTGCGATCCACGGTGGACAAGGACAAACTCGTCTTATCATCCGCCTGGGCGCAGAGCTCGAAAGCCAAGGCCCTGTTAGCTTTCGCAAAGCGTGCGTCTTTGTGATGGCGGTCCAAGGTGAGACGGGGATGCACGAAAACGTCACGAACGGCCTCGGCGAAGCCATCCGGTTGGGGCCAAACCAGCCGGCGAGTTTTGTCTGCTGCCAGGACCGCCAGGCCTTCATGGATGGCAAAAGGCGCAAGCCTTCGCCCCGTGGGAGCGCAGGCGAACTCCATTCACTGCCTCCACTGCTGCCGGATCTCATCTCAGACAGATCACGGGCCACCTCCGCCAGGGACCCGCCCATGCGGCACTTTTAAAAGCGTTGACGTCTGGCCTGCTGTCGTCGGTTGCGTCGTGCTGTGCCTGTGCTTGTATTATGGCTGTGTGCGGCCGGGCTGTTTGGATGCTGATTGGGACCCCTGGAGGCGGCTGTGCCACTCTTCCGGCTGGGCGGGACGCTTCGCCACGACCGTCCGACGGGGCACGAACCACTGAAGAATCCGAAACGGCAGGGATGCGCGAAGATCCACTGAATCTTGCACGACCATCTTCAAGATTATCGTCGTCGTCGCTCGGGACTGGGATCACAACAGCGTCGTCCATAGACATCGCGGGCCGGGCAAGAGCGGGTCCGATCGCTATCCGATCAAAGCAACTAAGATTGAAAAGGATGCGAGGGGCTCACAATTTGAGAATGGGGGGAAGCACCTTTCCCTGGGTGGCTTGAGCCACCCGTGGCGCAGCTCTCGTCCCGCAAACCTTGCCACTGGGGCCTTTGGTGGAGGTCCCTATGCCGAAATGGGGGGGGACGCATGCGAACCCTGCCACCAGGGCCTTCGGTGGAGCTCCCTCTGGGGCCACGAAGCGTGTGAGGGGGTGTCGAAATTGGTTTCGGGGACGCATGCGGACGGTGGCACTGGGGCCTTCGGTGGAGCCCCCTCTGGGGCCACGAAACGTGTGAGGGGTGTGCCGAAATGGGCGGGGGGACGCATGCGAACCCTGCGGCCTTCGGTGGAACTCCATATGGGGCCACGGACCGTGTGAGGGGTGTGCCGAAATGGACACGCGGAGAACAGAGGTAGGGATGGGAGGAGAGGCGCGGATGAGAGACGAGGGGGGAGGGGGCAGCGGGAGGAGGTGAGACGCGGGGCGCTGTCTCCTCAAAACGAAGGCCCAACACCACAGGATGGCTGGGGAAAATCGTCCCCTGACTATGTTCTGACTAGCTTGAAATAGTCCTCCTGTAGAGGGACACGCCCGACTTAAGTCTAGGCAAGCCCCCTCAGTGTTCCCATGGGGGATCGTTTTAGCGCCAGAGGACCAGAGGCTCCCCCATGCAGGACCCCACCACACGCTCGTGCGCGCACCCAGCCTGGTCTAAGAACACCGGGTCCGTCTGCTATTTGGGGGCGCGCAACCATGGATGAGCGATCCATGGAGTTGGCGCGCGGACGCCAAATGCATGGATCGGGGGAGGTACCCTCCCCACAATGCGGCACATGCCGCCTCGTTCGGCGGCGGAAATCCGCGGTTTTCCCGTGGAAACGGGACCCGTCGCTAATCCACGCCCCTTTTGATCCATGTTTGCGATCGCCTAAGTGATCCAGGTTTCAGTGCCCGTCGCCATCACCCGATTAGGCAACTACACTTCGTCGGACTATCGGCGCTGCTGTGCTCGATTCCTCCTCCTCCTCCTCCTCCTCCTCCTCCTCCTCTTCCTCCTCATCCCCCTCCACCTCATCCCCATCCTCCGACTCCTCCCCCTCCACCCTATCCCCCTCCCTCCGCTCCTCTGCGCTCCTCAACCCTCCCCTCCTCCCTCCCACTCCCCCAGCCTCCTGGAGGCCGTGGCAGGAGGCAGCGGGAGAGGTGTGCTGGAAGAGGGAAACTATAGCGATTTGTTCATCGTGATTATTTTTTTCCAGCCGCGTCTGGGAGGGGGAACCTATCGCGATTTGTTCGTAATGGTTTCCTTCTTCCAGCTGCGGCCGGCGCGGCGTGCCGCGTGGACGACGCGGAGGCCACGAAGTCGGCCACGGAGAGCCCCGGCACCTCAGCAGCGCGCGAGGACTGCAGAGGGGGTCGCGGCTGTGCCGCTGCTCGGCCCAGAGGCCCTGAGGAGGGCGCCGGAGGGAGAGATGAGAGAGGGAGGGAGGGAGGGGGGAGAAGGAGGAGGGAGGGAGGGAGGGAGGGAGGGAGGAGGGAGGGGGGAGAAGCAGGAGGCGGAGGAGGGCGAAGACGGCGAGGACCGAGAAGCAGGATGGGGAGAGGCCGAGGAGCAGGCGGAACGTCAGCGTGAGGAGGAGCATGACGAAGGGACAGGAGGAGCAGGAGGGGAGGGGGGGACTTTGACGTTAGCTTTATGTCGAGCATGTCCTCCTACAAACGTATTTTGGACGAACAACATTGAACAGTCAGAGAATAATCAAACATCGTCCCCATGCTATTGTTTGACTACTTCTGGATATTCCTCCTGTAGAGGGACGTGCCCGAGGAGGAGAAGGAGGAGAAGAAGGAGGAGAAGCAGGAGGAGGATGGACAAAGAGGAGGGAGGAGGAGAGGACTTTACGACTCGTAGTGGGAATTCGGAGAAAGCAGGTCGTACATCACAAGTGCTGTCAGCCCAAACTGTGTCTGCACCCGTCGACGTCCTCGTCCTAGCCTGAGGCAGGAGCTGCGACGAGAATCACCGACTGAATCGGTGGGCACACAGCATCGCTCCCACGACGAAGGTAGCTGAGCTCTCCGGCGGGCATCTAACTCCGAGCTTGCTCGATCGGGCAGAGCGCTTCACAGTGCTCGCGTGCATACCGTCGTCCTTCGATCACAGGCTCGTCACGCCACTTAATGCCCGACCTCGGGAAGCACACGAGAAATGCGAACCACACGATGCCATTTGCGACGGCAGACATGCTGTAGCATCAAACCCCGTTGCGTACCAGACTGTGGTCCCTCCTGACGAAGGGTGACCGTTGCAGCGACCCAGAGGAGGTTGGATAGGGGTGGGGCGAAGGATGAGGGAGAGTCGAGGGGAAGGGAACAGGATGAGAAGGACCAGTAGAATGACGAGAGGGTAAGAGGGATCAGAGAAAAGCGAGAAGGGGGGAGAAGGAGGGGACGATGAGCAAGAGGGATAAGAGGATATGCCGACGAGGAAGGGCAAGAAAGGGAACATGAGGAGAAGGAAGCCCAGGATGAAAATTACGATAAGAAATTGGATAAGGAGGCGGCACTCCTTACCCTCACCCTCGTTCACCCCTTTTCCCTCACCCTCTTATCTCCTCTCTTATTCCCCTTCCGTTTCCCTCGCTCCCTCCCTTGCCTCCTCCTCCTCCTCCTCCTCCTTCTCCTCCTCCTCCTCCTCATCCCCCATCCTCTCATTCTTCGAGAAGCACGGAGAGGGACACGATGAGGCGAGATACGGTGGCGACTTCGGCGACGACGGAGGCGGATGACGACGGCGGCGACGACGACGGATGGACGAAGACGGTGGTGCACCCTCGGCGACGACGGCGACAGCAGCGACGAAGACGACGACGAGACCACCACGCCGACGGCGACGACGGACGACGACGACCACGGACGACGACGACCGAGGATGGCGACGGCGACGACGACCGAGGATGGCGGCGACGACGAGACGCGGCGCGCCGCACGCCGCCGGCGACGGCGGCGGCGACAAACGGGGCGCCGACTCGAACTCCCGCGGGGACACGGGCGCGGCGGCGCCGCCGCCAGCGGGCGCCTCGCTAAGCTGGGAGCAGCTCGCGTCCGCCTGCAAGAGGCGCGGGGGGAGAGTTGGTGGTCCCCAAACGTGGTGGTGAGAACACCCGGTGGTGAGTTTTGGGCGATTTGGGTAATGGTTTTCGAGCGCTGGCTGGCCCAGGAAACGCAAAACCTCGTGGCGACCGCGTGTCCCCAAACCCGGTGGTGACTCAGAATTATTTGTTGGGGGAATCGGGGTCACCACCGGGTGTCTCACCACCTGGTTTGGAGACCACAAAGAGAGGGGGGAGAAGGCGACTCCTGGGCCGGGGGCGGCGGCAGATTCCCAGAGCTGGGCGCGAATTCGCGGGGGAGACAGGTGCCCTTCTCGGCCCCCATGGGGGCCCCAAAGGGCTCTTTTACGTGGCTCCAAAAATTCCCTTGAGAACTCACAAGAGGAAGTAGATGTGTGTGTATGTTCATCGGCAAGATTGAATGTCGCGCACGCGCGTGCTCAGCGCTCGCACGCACGCGATCCCAAGACGTCCCATGGCCACAAAATGCTCCCAGGAGGGCCTCAGGCCACGGACGGTAATGTCCAGACGACCCTGGGATGACGCCACCCTGAGATCCTGCCGTGGACTCTGCGCCTCCCAGGCCGACTCGAATATCACCATACACATGAGCAAGGAGTGACGCCGAGATGGTCCGATGGCAACAAGATGGATCCAAACGCCCAGGGTGGCCCCATAATGACCACTCGACAACTTCGGGATCCAAACATGACTGGGACATGATTTCAAGATGACCTCAAGACGACCCGAACACGGCAAGAACGCTGCAACTTCTGAACCTCATCTTACTTCGTGCCGATCCCAACATGGCGGGATCCGGGAACGACCCGGGGTTTCGGCTTACCCGATTTCTGAAGGGTGGTATTCGAAGTATAATTTTAGAACAAAATGTGGAAAACTTCATGAACTGAATCGATTATACGATGAACTTGCCCGATCTGCTCCTTCCTCCCCAAGCGACGCCTTTCCCACCACGAATCAACTTGAAAAGGGATAGGCTGGCATCGCCCGGAAAGCCTACCCTTCGGACCAAGCTTCGAAAATGGCGAGAAAAGTCCCATGAATGACCACGTAAACTTGGATGTCAAGGACCTGCCAAGAGAGGGGGGTAGGAGGAGGACGAAGAGGAGGAGCGGGAGAGGGCAAACGAGGAGAACATCTGACGTCAAACATTCCAGGACCGTCACACGAACAGACTTGCAATAGGCAAGCCCGCAGACACATCCAAAGCCTGGAAACCATTCGCGGCGTGCCATGAGCATGGATCCCCAAGGCTTATGTTGCGCCCATCGTACTCAAAGACTAGATCCCAGACATAATTCCGAGCAGAGAGTGTCGAACAAGTGTCGAAACAGTGTCGGAAGAGTGTATCCCAGGGCCCGACACGTGAAAACCCTCAAGTTTTGGGGTGTTTCTTGGCGCTCGAAATTCACTCTGGTTATCAAGGCTAAAATAGGTTGGAACATCATCACCCAAGGCCTAGACAGCCGATGATCATGCCCACATCGAGCACGCGAGGGCGATGGGGAGAGGAGGAGAAGGAGTAGGAGGAGGAGAAGGAGGAGGAGGAGGAGGAGACAAACAAGAAGGAGGGGAGGAGGGGAAACACAGCGCGCTAAGACCGCAATGCGTCCGCTCAGGCCGAGAAGGACGCAGCATGCTGAAAACATTCTGGATGAAAAAATGGCCCTGCTGGGATCTCAGGCGGCCGGCAAAAAAGGACAGTACGATCTCGTTGACGACTCAGAGGGTCGGGAGCGGTCGGCGAGACCGGGGGCCTTCCACCAGCCACCTCCGCGTGCACCAACGCCATCGTCAATTAACGCACGGAGTGCGAACTCCGCACCTCGAGTGCAGAGGAGAGCCGCGGAAGAAGAGGTAGGATCAGGGGCGCAAAGAAACGCCCTCGGCGGCTGCCGCACTGCTGCAAAGTTGTGTCGCCCAGCCGGCCCGAACAAACGGGCGCAACGAAGAAGGAGGGGAGTCGATGGGGGGGGGATGAGGAACGAACAAGCCGAGTGTCGTCCACACCTGCGCGCCCTCCGAGCGGTCGCAGAGCAACGCGTCCTGAGACGCCGGCCCGAGCGCGCGGCGCGCCTCCGACAGCCAACAGCTCGAGTGCTCTATGTTCCGCAGGGGGGTGCGCACATCAGATGCGCCAGCCCCAAAGCCCCCTCCCCTGGGGGCCGCAAGCCCGAGGACAGGGGACCGCCCCCCGACGACGACGACGACGACGCCGACGACAAGCGACGACGACGAACGCGGCGACGACGACGACGACCGGGGAGGGGGAGGGGGAGGGAGAGAGGAGGAAGAGGACGAGACGGAGAGAGGAGGGACGGAGCGAGGAAACGGCCCCCCGCCCCCAAGCGCGGGGCCCCCTCTGGGGAGGCAGGCGGCTGGCGCCAGCCGGCAGCCAGCCAACCTGGGCTGGACAAGTCGTGCCCCCCCTGGCAAGACGCGACGGCGCGCACGCGATGCTCACGGCCGCGCGGCTGGCACAGCAGACGGCCCAAAAAGAATCCAACATCGACTGGCTGGCATCCCCCAAATCAGCCGCCCGAGAAGAGAAGAGAAGAGAAGAGAAGAGAAGAGAAGAAAAGAGAAGAGAAGAGAATATAAGAGAAGAGGCAAGGACGAGGACAAACGGGGGAGCGAGGACAACAAACGTGCTGATGATACCGACTACTACTCTATCCGCGCCGCCGCCTCCCAGAGATCTCCCCGGAAGGCGCCGTCCAACTATTCACTAAAAATTCGCCCGTGCCCCAGTGAGTTGTGGATCTGGTACAGCGCGTATAACGCCTTGATCCACGCGACGGTCTCCGCGTCTGGCCAGTCGAAGCCCAAAAAGAGGTCCAACTCCCGCCCCGCGCGAGACGGCGTCAGCCCGGCGCCTGCTGCCAGGAGCCGGCGCACCACTGAGCAGCGGGCGAAATGCTGCACCCCGTCGGGTCTGCCACCGCAGCCGCATAGACAAGGAGCTTACCCGTGGGAGCAGCGGCCGGGGCACCAGCCACCACAAAGTGTCGGCAAATTCGCAGCCGTGACCCGAGGCGCGCTGTCCGCCGCCATTCGCTGTAGCCGCGCCAAAGCACGGTGCAACCGGTGCCCGGCACGAGTAGCGATTGGCCAACGGTCCAGGCGGCGTCGCAGATGCCGCAAAGCCACGCCGTTGCCGCCCGCCCAGCACGCGTCGGCCACCCGGCCCTGCCAGCCCGCCGCTCCTCCAGGCGCAAGCCGCCGCGCGGCAGCCGCGACAGCCGGGCCTGCACCTAGCTGGCGGCCTGCAGCAGACAGCTGGAGCAAAAAGAATTGCGAGAGTCAGCGCAGTAGCCAGGCCTCGCAACTCAGCGTCTGGCCGCCCCCCTGGCTGGTCAGCGCCGCCATTCGCGCGGCGCGCCGATGCACATCCAAGCGCCCGCCGTCCTCGAACCGGACCACCCGGGCCTTGGCGGCGAGTGCGGTCGCCTCCAGATCGTTCAACTGCCACGGCCTGCGGAAGTCCCTCAGGCTCTTCAAGCAGTCGGTATTCATCCACCCCTGCGGGCCCCGGAACATGGCCCTGCCGGCGCTCTGCTCCGCGGCCGCGAATTCCGGCGGCAGGGCGTCGAGTTGCGCCACGAATAGGGGGGCCGATGTCACGCCGATGCCGTAGGCGCGCGACGTGAGGAAGGCCCCGGCACCGATATGTTTCCAAATGCGCGCCCTCTCTGCGTACTTGGCCAGCGGGGCAATCCACGAGCGATGCCCGCTGGTCCGGGCCGAGGTGGGACCCCATGCAAGTACTTCACCGAGCCAGCAATGCCCAGGCTGCCCCACAGTGGCGTTGCCGCCGTCAGCTCCCGCCGAAATTCAAGTTCAGTGAAAGGGTCGGGTGTTACCAGCACTGTCTTGGGGACACTAAGGCTCAACCCCGAGATCCGGGCAAAATCGCTGAAGAATTCCTGCAGCTTGGAGAGCCTCGGGAACGCCCCCGACAGTACCATGGCCAGGTTGTCGGCGTAAGCACGGAGTGTGGCGCCAGGAGAGACGGGCGAGTCGGCGCAGATAGAGGTCGGACACAACAGCGAGCAACAATGGTGATAAAGGACATCCTTAGCGAATGCCCATTGTAACCTCATGCCCGTGAGAATAAACACTAGGGGATAATAAAGTTCGGGGTTCAGGGAGAGATAATAAAAGTAGCCCCGCAGACCTCAGCATAATCTCGAAGTAAGAGATGATCAAGAGGAGACCAAGCCGAGCACGTTTTGAGACATCCTTGGCGTTTAGTTTTCATGGAAATATCCTCAACAATGGCTTATCTCGCTGGAATGGAGGAAGCTATATATAAAAAAAGAAAAATAAAAATAATAAATAATAAAATAAAAGAAATGATAGGAGGACAAGAAGGACGAAGAGAAGAAAACATCTCGAGTTTCAAATCTATTAGATTTTGTTTACAAGCGCTTTATGAAAATTGTTGCTTTGTAAGTGCTCGTGTAGGGTAGCTCATGTGCCTCAATTTCCATGGATAATCAACCCCAGAGATAAAAAAGTTCAGGCGAGCGTGGGGACAGAGAGAAATATAAAAGAAGAAGAATACAGTAGAAGAACAATAAGAAAGAAGAAGAAGAGGATAATCATAAGAGGACGAAGAAAGGAAACATCCAAAGTTCCAAATCTATCAATTTTAATTTACAAGCGCTTTATGAAAATTGATTTTTAAGTGCTCGTGTAGGGTAGCTCATGTGCTTCATTTTCCATGGATAATCAACCCCAGGGATAAAAACGTTCAGGCGAGCGTGAGGACAGATAGAAATATAAAAGAAGAAGAGGAAAGTATAATAATAATGAAAAGAGAAGAAAAAAGAATAAGAAGAAGAAGAAGAGAAGAAGAACGGAAAAATGGAAAGTTCCAAATCTATCAATTTTAATTTACAAACGCTTTATGAACATTGATTTTTTTAAGTGCTCATGTAGGGTAGCTCATGTGCTCCCCTTTCCATGGATAATCAACCCCAGAGATAAAAAAGTTCAGGCGCGCGCGGGGATAGCAACATCGCTTGATGTTGCTATCTCAACATAGCGTTTCGAGGTGATACTGAAGTTCGGCCTCAGCGCTCGCCGCCCAATTTGAATTTTGTATAGGGCGACGATAATCAACTCTAAACACTGAAGGGGGGGGGGTCCCTTTATTATCATCGGCATGCGGTTAATCTCCATGCCGGCGTGCACAGAGCCGCCCAACGCGGTTTGGCAATGATTGTGCCAGTAAAACTGCCGACGAAGTTGAGAAGCCACGTCGGCCACCCGAGTCACAGGGCCATCCTCTGCTCTCGCAGGGCCCCCCAGTGGGTCAGCTCTGTGGCGCGCGGCCTGTCCGCCGCGGCAGTCCAGCGTGAGGATTTCGCTCGTGGGACGTCTCTGGCGTGCTATGCGGCGGTGGCAGAGCCCGTCGCTTCCGGTCTGCGCCGCCTTCGGCTACTTAAGCAGGCCATGTGCGACGTGGGACAGCAGCTGGGGATCGCACAGGGCCGGCGTGAGGCTGCGGCGCAGCACGAGAACAGTTTGGGCCTTACCATGAAGTCTCTCCACGCGGTGGAAGCGGGAGCCATGGGAGAGATTTCCGCGTGCTTGGTCGGCTACCCCGTCTTGTCCACCCTCGTAGACAACCCGTACGCGGTCGACGGCCACCTGGAGCGCCGACTGCGCCCTATCAGGAACCACGCAGTGCAGCTGGCAAGAGATCACGCCCTCGACGAACTTGGGAAGGCGTCGGAGGCGGCCAAGTCAGGAGACGCAGCACGGGCAGCCCAGGCAAAGCAGAAATATGCCAGACTCTTGTACAAGCTGGCGCCTGGGCGCAGCGCGAGCGTGAAGGGAAGGCGGTGCAGCTCGCGGACGGTGGTCATGCGACGGCGCTGGAGGATATGGCTGCAGCTCTCCGGAAGCAATGGTCGCAGGTTTTCCGCAGTCGCGGAATCGACCAGGGCCTCTCTGCGGAGTGGCTCAGGGAGGACGCCGAGAATCGCGCATCCGCTGACGCTACCGCCGTGGACGGAGACGCGGGCCAAGCTCCGTCGCACGAGGGCCTTCGACGCGTTCGCCCCAGACGGGGCCACGTGCAACGGGCAGTGCGTCTCTCCAGGTCCCGACGGGGTGCCTTACGCTGCTTGGCGTCGTCTGGGCCCTCTGGCCGTGGACGTACTGCACGGAGCGCTCAAGGATTGCTGCCGCGACGACGCGCAGACGGTCTTGCAGCGGGACCTCGCGGACTTCAATGCGAGCCTGCTCCTCTTCTTGCCGAAGTCGGCCGCGGACCGGACCGAGGAGGGCGTCGAGTCGTTCGCCCCAAGCGGCGTGCGACCGCTGAACATCACGAAAACGGACAATCGCCTCCTCGCGAGCGCGGTCCGGCTTGCGACTGAGCCGCTCGTAGAGCAGCGCATCGCGGGTTGCCAGCGTGGGTTCTTGCCCGGGAGGTCCTTGCTGGCGAACATCCTGGAAGTTGATGAAGTAATGATCACAGAGACCACGCGTGCGGAGGGGGCGTGCGCGCTCTTCTTCGACTTCGCCGCGGCCTTCTTGTCGATTGAGCACGCGCTTCTTTAATGAACTTGCCAGAACTACATTAGGAACATTGCATTACTAGAGTTACATTATATGACCATCCTGAACTAGAACTATATTACTCAAAGGGAATAAACTAGGCGGGATCCCGCCTGGCCCACGGAAGGAGACATCATTGCTAAGCTTCTACGGGGGTAGGTGGGTTCGTCAGGGGCGTCGTTTACTTCCGCCGACTTCCGCGGGCCTTCCGACGGCCTTTCGCCGTCTTCCGCCTCGTTTTACTTCCGTTCACTTCCGCTGGTGAGTGTCGTGATGGAAAATTCAAGGAACTTTCAGTGGGCCGATTTAGGTTCCTTACAGGGCACTTGCTTGGTAGCTCTTGTTGCCGCATTCATCGTGTTTCATTATGCGCCCCCCAAGGGGGGGAAGGCGCCGACTGGGCTAGGGCAGCGGCAGATTCCCAAAGTAAAAAAAGAAAAAGGGCCGAGACGAGCACCGGGAGCGGGTGAGGCACAGGGGAAAAAGGAGGAGGAGGAGGAGGGGCAGCGGGAGCAGGAGAAAGAGGGAGGGCGAGAAAGGAGGAGGCCTCGTCCTCACACCTCCTCTCCATCCTCCCCCCCTACTCCTCTTCTTCCTCCTCTTCCTCCTCCTCCTCCTCCTCGTCCACCCCTCCTCCTCCTTCTCCTCCTTCTCCTCCTCTACCTCCTCCTCCTCCTCTTCCTCCTCCTCCTCCTCCTCCTCCTCCTCCTCCCCCTCCTCTTCCTCCTGCTCCTCCTTCTCTTCCTCCTCCTCCTCCTCCTCCTCGTCCACCCCTCCCCGCTTGGTCGGTACAGCCTCCATGCCGTGCTCGACGCCTCTTTCGTGTCGTTTGGGGAGGCTCCGCCAGCATCGCCAGGGAAGCAATTGTGCAGACAGGTGAAGATATGGCAACTGCACGTGCATCATACATGTAACGTTCGCCTTGTCTCATCTGTGGCGGGCAGCGCACGCCTGGGTCTTGTGGCACGTGTACATGTCCCATCGTGACCCCCCATCGTGGCCCCCCACAGCAACTGCGCAAACTCTGTCTGGCATTTTGCCAACAAACATGGGGTTGTTTTCTGAACGGTCGCCTTGCATGGAAAGAGGAAACAACGCATAAACATACACTTTTGGCGCTCCGCGTCGACTTCTTGGATCTGAGCCAGACCCCCCTCCCTGGCGAGCGGAGCGCGCCAGGGGCGGCGCTGGAGCCGCCGCCAGGGGGGGCCCGGCGCGGATCCAAGAAATCAGCGCGGAGCGCCAACAGTTTATGCTCATGCAATTGCTTCTCCTTCGATTGCAGTTGCATGGCACGTTGCTCACATCCATGTCGGTGGTATCTGATGTCACGCGAGGGCTCAACGACGCCATGCTGGGCACGTGCGACGTCCGCTCCACCTTTTTGTCATCCAAGCTGCGACTGTGCGGAGAGAGTTTCACACACAAATATCTTCATTGAAACTGAAAGCCCTGTTCATTACTCCTACTGTGGTACGAACGCGGGTTCCACTAGTGATCGCCGCCGAAGGCCATGACCTCGTTCGAAATGCGCGAGGTTAAGACGGCCAGGCCGAATAGGAGGAGGAGGAGGAGGAAGAGGAGGAGGAGGAGTGTCATTATTAGGGGCTGCACCACTGCGTCCTCACGTTTTCCGTGGAGGCCTGGGGCTTGTGCAGCGTGTTCTGGTGCTGCTGTGCATGGCCGTCGCGCTTCACATCGAGTTCAACGTTCGTACAAGGCGCCCATCCTTACGACTTGCAAGTTTATCGGGTAGTTCACGGTTCACGGCCTCTAACTCCTCCCTGTTCCTCCTCCGCCTCCACCTCCTGGACCTGATCCTCGTCTTCGTCTACTGAGCGTCATCTTCTGGGATCAAATCGCATGTGGCAGGTGGAGGGGAATGCGGGGGGGGGCCAGCAAGAGGGAGAGGCGAAGCGAAGGAGGAGACGGATGACGGAGAGGACAATAAAGATACTTGCGTCAGTCATCCGCCTTGTCACGCCTCCTTGTTCACAACTTCCTCCGCCTCATTTCCCTCAACCGCCTCGTCTTGGATGAGGGCATCATCCTGATCATTCCCTCTGCCCATCAGTATTCCCCTGCATTCCTGACCGTTCCTGGAAGAAGGTCAGCCTCTCCCATTGCTCCTCCTCCTCCTCCTCCAACTTCTACCTCTCTGCTTGTCCTCTCGTCCCCACTAGAAGCACGTATGTGTTAACACGATCGTATGTTTGTCCGCAGAATCTCTTCGGTGCGTAAAGTGCGCCAGACTGAGGGCCACCAGATACTCCAACGAGACAAGCGGAGGTTGCCATTTAGTCCAACGGCTTGGGGACCACACTCCCCATTTGAGGCTTCCCAAATGAGGTCCGAATCTATTGGGTCGCAGGATCGGTCCGAATATACTGGGCCGCAGGATCGCGCGACATCGCCAATGCACCGCCGATGCATCGGCGCTGCATCGGCGACGTCGGTGTCTGGGTGGAGAAATCGGCACCACGTCGAGCTGCATCGTCGATGCAGCGGCGATGCGGCGCGAATCTCCGACCCCATCTGCTCGGACCCCATCTGGAAGACCCTAAGCCCCATGCATGGACAATCCCTCGCTGCCCCTCTCCGGCCCCACGGACGACGCGGCGGCGCGCCTGGGGGGAAGCGAAGAAGAGAAGGCCTTCTCAGAAGGCTCGGAAGTCCTCCGGCCTCCTGAAAAGTTGTCTAAGCCTTCCCCGAAGGCACACAGAAAACTTCTCAGAAGGCACGGCCTTCTGAGAAGGCATTCCCCCTCTCGCTTCCCCCGCGGGCGCGCCGCCAAATGTTTATATCAAAATCGTTGCCCGAACCCCTTCCTGGGGTCCATCTGGGGCGGCTTCTCACCCCGAATCGAGTTTCGGGGGCAACGGGGCCTGAGAACGGCCCCCAAGAGTTGAGGGATGGAAAAACGACCCTACCTGGGTTACAAATGCGTTGTCCGTTAACCTCCTGGGAACCCCCAAAGCCTATAGAGCCGCCAGGACGCCGCACATCACGCAGGGTTTACCCTGACAGCCCATAGGAGTTTCAGCGCACAGCGCCTCGTAATCCAGGGTGGGGGCGTTTTGTTCTGCCCCTGAAAGAGGCCGAAAATGATGAAAGACCGCCTCTCGAACCTCGAAACTGACGCCCCGAGCTTCCCCCAGCACTCGCTCGCCGCAAGACGGCAACCGCGCGCCTTGCAGCCGCCGGGCGCCGACTCGAACTCTCGCGCGCCCGCCGGCAGCTCCAAGCAGGCCCCGGGCGCGAGCGCGGCGCCTCCGTGCGGGAGTGCGGAGGGCAGAACATCCACCCCGATATTGAGCACCCCGACAAGCGAAGCCGTTCAGTAGACGCACCCCGAGGAAGACCTCGAACAGAACAGGGCCGTTCCGGGACCGCCCGGGGCCGTTGATAGTGAACGCCAGTTGTCGAAGTCGGGATGGTTCTTTCCTCCCTCCCTTGAGACGGGGGGAGGTAAAAGAAAACACGCCATAGACATAAATGTTTGGCGCTCCGCGCGGATCTCTTGGATTTCTTGGGCCTAGCGTGGATCCAATAAATCCGCGCGGAGCGCTTAATTTATGTTTTTGGTGTTTGCTCTTCTTTGAGGCGGGGCAGCAGGCGGCCCTGGTGGCCAGGCCACCGATTCGATACGGGCCGCCGGGCTATCAGCTTCGCCGCTGCGGCGGAGGCCAAGGAAGGGATTTGGGGGGGTAGGAGCACCGACCCCCCCGCGCTGGGGGAAAAAACATCAAGACCTGAGGTGGTGCGCTATGTTCTGGATCCGGGGAAGGCGGGCCCCTTCTCATTTCCCCACCCTGGCCCGCCGCTGACCTTTGCCGGGCCCTGGGGCCGTCAGAACACGATTCGGGATGGAAAGTCGGTGCTGGGGGAGGGGCCCGGACCTCTGGAGGGTGACGTTGCACTAATATATATATATATATATATATATATATAATATATATATATATATATATAAATATACACACATGTGTGTGTACGTATGCGACCGCCCTGCGGGCGATAAGGAGGTTGGGGGGGATTGAGATCAAATGCCCACCCTGACTAACCTCCAGGCTGTCACCTTGATATCATCTCTCTCTTTCTCTCTGTCTCTCTCTCTCTCTCTCTCTCTCTCTCTCTCTATATATATATATATTAATAATATTACTAATAATGTTAAAAAACAACAACACACAAAAAAACAAAACAAAACAAAAAACACGCCGCAGGCGCCCAGCAACAATGAATTGATGGATTGGGTTGGGTGGATTGGATTGGATGGGACAAGATGGATTTGATAATATAAGATGAAATGGATTGGAAGAAGTGGATTGGATAAGATAAGATGGATTGGATTGGCCCGCCGCAAGCGCAGAAACAAATGAATTGATGGATTGGGTCGGGTGGATTGGATTGTGGGATAAAATAAGATGGGACAATATGGAATTTGATAAAATAAAATGGATGTGAGTGGACAAGATTGATTGGATAAGATAAGCTGGATTGGATAAGAAAGCCCGCCGCAGGCGCCGAACAAAAATAAACTAGTCTTAAATTAGCGACATGCGTTAGCGCCGGGACGCCCAGGACACCCGGGACACCCGGGAGGGACACCGCCCGGCCCAACTGGGACACCTCTCGGCCACCGGCGGACGGGAAACGGACTTTCGCCCTACTGACACCCGGGACACCGCCCGGCCCAACTAGGACACCTCCCAGCCACCAACGGACGGGAACGGACTTTCGCTCCTACTTCGGCCTAGCTACAGGAGGATCACTCGCAGCTTCGCCTCGCCCGCACGCACGACACGAGCACGAAACCGAAACCGACTTCCCGGTGGGGGGGTCTCCATTTCACTGCGATCTCACCCCCCAACCTCCGATACTCTGCGCGCGCTTAGGCTCTAGTCGACTCCGAAGACGTTGTCAATGGCACGATGTGCATCCCAAGATGCAGCTGCGCCACGGCTCCGTTTCCCGCTTGGTTGATGGCCTCGGGGGGGGTCCTGGTGGCCTCTAGGGTCCCTCCCCCGAAGCTGTCTCCTGGATTGCCTCCTCCCCGTCCTCCTACGCCGTCCGTGGAAGCTTTCTGACGGGCCTTTTAGTGCTTCGTGAAGTGTCCAGGCGACAATCATCATCAGCAGCATCATAATCATCATAATCATGGTGGCCATCATGGTGATATTCATTGTCATGGTCATTCGTACCATCAACAACAAAATCATCCCCTAATCTTCGTAATGATAATGATAAGATCAATAATCATGCGAATGCTAAACATCATCATCATTTTCAGCTTCAGCATCACCATCATCACCATGATCGTCATGAACATCGTAGCGAACATCATCAGCCGGCGCAGCACGAAAACTGGGGTACTTCGAAAACGGGCCCCTTGGAGCCGAAAGCTGCGAAAAACCTTATCGAACTCCGAACCCCGAATCTCTACCAAAAACATACGAACAGGTTCAAAAAGAACCGACGACGACGACGACGACGCCCACGATGACGACGACGACGGCAAGGGGCAAAGCGTGGATCCTCGCCCCCCCGAAGCAAATGTTCCCGGAGGCCCTTCCGGGAACATCTCCCGGAACCGCCCAGGCCCGCGAGGTTTGCGCGACGGCGTCTGCGTAGCGCGGCGCTCGTGTTGGGGCCTCTTGGGGTCTTTTGGGGGCCTCTTGGGGACCTCTTCGGGGCATCTTGGGGACCTCCATGGCGCGTCTTGGGGCTCTCTCGGGGCCTCCTGGGAAGCTTTCAGGGCGGAAAAATAAAATGTTGACTTTTTGTTCCCCCTCGTGGGCCCCTATGGAAGCCTTTTCGGGGCCCTCTTGGGCTGTTTAGGGCCCTCTGGGGCGCCTCTTGGGCTGTCTTGGGACTGTCCAGGGCCATCATCAGGCCGTCTGGGGGGCCTCCCGGGCAGTCTTGGGGCGCTCTTGAGGACCTGCTGGGCCTTGGAAAAGCAAAAAAGCTATCAAAACCAAAAACATCGGAAAGCACTGTGGAACATCATCGATTGTGGCCTCTCGGGGCTCTCTTGGGACGCTTCTTTGAAGCCTCTTGGGGCGGCTTCGGGGCTTCTTGGGCTGTCTTGGGGCCATCTTGGACGTCTTCGGGGCCTCTTGAGGCTTTCTGGACCATCTGCGCGCTGGAGTAATGGAGGGAACACAAAAGGGGGGACGGCAATAGGTGCAATAGGTCGTTTGCCTGAACTTTTGCGCGCGAACTATTGCGAGGGGGCACGAACTATTGCAAACCGCCTGAACTATCGCGCACGAAACAAGACGAAGCAACACCCGCGCGGAACTATTGCATCCACGCCGCAAACTATTGCATCCAAGCACCAACTATTGCATGAACTATTGCGCCTACCCCGGTCCCCCCATTTGTGTTCCCCCCATTACTCTGGCTTAGGCCCGCGTGACCTGTCGTGGGCAATTTGGACGCGGCCCGGGGCAGTCCTGGGGGGTCTGTGACTCCCCAAAGTCCCGGGGGGGGCCATGGGGGAGGGTGGCACCGGCCCGGCCCCCCCCCCCCGGCCTACTCTGATCTGTGTATAGGTATACATAGATATACGATAGTATGTACATATACACGCATACATCTGAGTATACGTCTATGTACAACAGACGCTATGCACTACAGAGAGAATTAACCACACATCAATTTATGCACACATAAACACAAGACTGCGTTGGCGCTTCGCGCCATGCACCCTGGTCCTTCGCGTCTAATATGCATGCAGCGTGATCAATCAAAATATCGATCGCTGCGGGTTACTATGTTCGCCATCACCATTCTATACTGTTGTTCATTATCCTTCACTCATGTGTCCTCTTCCTCTTCCTCGTTCTCGCATTGATTGTCCCGCGAACCAATCCCCGTCCTCCTCATGTTTGTTTGCGGATGCTCCTCCGAGGCGAGCTTCTGGAAAACCTCGCGAAACATTTGTTTAGAAACCTTTTGGGCGCCCATGGAGGCGTCCCTGGCGCCTTTTGGCGGCCTCTGGGGGAGCTCCTCGGGCCACCATGCCGCGAACCGTGGTCTTGTGCCACGGATTGAATGCTTCCGGAAGGCGTCTTGGGACAATTTTGACCCGTCATGGGGCCCTCCGTGGGCAACTTCTGAACCCTCTTGGGCCGTCTTGGGGTCTTCTGGACTGTCAGGATTTTTTTTTCTGGACGTCTTGGAACGGTTTTCGGTGCCTCTCGGGCTTTTCTCGGACGCCCGGAAGACCGAATAACCGAGTAGCCCACAATCATACAGACACCAGTGGAGAATCAACCATATTGGCGGTTCGAATGCCTCTTGGGGGTGATCTTTGGGCCGTCTTCGAGCGTCTGGCGGGCGTCCGGGGCCGCTGGAGGCCATCTTGGATCGTCTTGGGGGTTTCTTGGGACCGCCGCCGACACGGCCGCACGACTTGGCAAGGACTTCCAGAGGCTTGCAAGTCTCGCGAAACCCTCTCAAGGGGCGTCGGGGATCCCGTTTCGGGGGGGTCCGCAGGGTCCCAGATTCTCTCTCTCTCTCTCTCTCTCTCTCTCGCTCTCTCTCTCCCTCTCTCTTTCTCTCTCATTCTCTCTCTCTCTCTGTGTATATATATATATATAAACAAAAAAAACGTGGCACCCCGCAAGTGCGGATAAGAATGAAGGGGCGGGCGCGGACGACGCGGGCGTCGACCCGGTGGACCTCGTGGCTCTCACGAATACAAAAGCCAACTGCAACGAATGCAAATGAAGCGCGCCGCAAACGCCGAAAATTTTGGGTGGGTCGCGGGGTGGGTCGCGGGTGGGTCGCGGGTGGGTCGCGGGCTGGTCGCGGGTGGGTCGCGGGGTGGGTCGCGGGTGGGTCTCGGGGAGGGTCGCCTTTGGGTCGCGCGTGGGTCGCCGATGCAAAAGAAATCCGCCGCAAGCGCCGAAGTTTTGGTTTGTTCAGTGGGTTGCGGGTGGGTCGCGGGCTCCACACCTCCACCTGGAAGGAATTCAAAAACAGCTCGCCGCAGGCGCCGACAATTTTGATTTGTACACTAAACGCGGTTTGGTTCGCGGGTGGGTCGCAGGTTCTCCACCTGGAACGACCTGGACCGAATGCAAAAGAAACCCGCCGCAGGCGCCGAATTTTTTGGGTCGGTCGCGGATGGGTCGCGGGTGGGTCGCGGGTGGGTCGCGGGTGGGTCGCGGGTGGGTCGCGGGTGGGTCGCGGGGTGGGTCGCGGGTGGGTCGCGGGTGGGTCGCCGGTGGGTCGCGGGTGGGTCGCCAGGGGGGTCTCGG